AAACGCGATTTGGAATGCGCATGCGCGGATCTCTATAACAAGGGTGCGTTTTTCAACACAACACCGGAGCTTTACAAAGTTTTGACACGCGGAAGAAAAAAAAACTCATCTCCCGAGGAGCTGCTGATGAAAAAAAAACCAAACAACTTGAAGCATCCTGCTCCGCCTCGACTCATCAACGTCACGCAGTAAAAACCGCGGAGGGAGAAAAGTTGTTGTAGTTTGTTTTCTGTAGTTCGCGCGCCGACTAGGATCAGGAGGAGAGGATGTGAGGAGCTTTCGAACCGTCATGGCAGCTGGAGAGGAGTCACCATCGACGACGTGACGCTTGTTGAGTTGACGCGTGGTTATTTTATTTTTTTTTTATTTTTTTTTGTGGCACAGCTAGCCGATGCAGCGAGCCCCTGTCCGGGTTAAAAGCTGGACTTCACACGGAGCCTGAGTGCATTCCGGGCGGCCACATCACAGCGGAGCGAGCTGAGTGAGTGTGTTCATGATTTGTGTGGTTTATTTTAGTAAACAAAACACCTTCACTGCTAATAACATTTTTATATGTTGTACTATATTGTTTCAACTTTAAAAAAAAAAATCAAAAATTTGAATTGAAATAAAAAATTAAGAAGAAGAAACATACTTTGTTGTAATATTACATTATATTTTCTTGAATAAAGCTGCCATGTTAGTTTGGCAGATTTGGGCTGGAGTCCTCTTCCTGTTAAATGGAAGTCATTTCTTCCTACGGTCGCTGTGTGCTGCTCGTGATGTGGGAGTGTAGGAAAACTGAGATTAGACTTCAATCTAATGGCTTAATTGAGTAGCCTATATAACTTTTACTAATTGCCATTATATAATGTCGTATATGTGAGGGTGTGGTATTATTAGAATTGAAATGACTGTAACTGGTGATCTATATTGGATTAATGACCACTGGTTTTCAAACWTTTTAATAACAGTTGCAGAAACTTGTGACCTCAGATACTACTGGTTTATATATGCATATTTTGCAGTACAAAACTGATACAGTGCCTTTGAGAATTGATACTGTATCAGGAAATAAAACATCACAATATTTCAGTGTATCAATATTTTCTTACACCCAATAACTATGGTCCTTCTTTTATTCATTCATGATTAAATGAAAAAAATTATGGTGAAAATATTCCATTAACAATTTATTTGCATTGAAATTCTTGTCCAGTAATGATCTGAGGACCTTCACTTGATGTTTCATGACCCACAGAGGGGTCCTGACCCCCATCCTTGGGAACCACTGATTTAGACTTTTATTTTTTTGTTTTGTGCCCTGAGATGACTTTTCTTGTAGTTGTGAATTGGTGTTGTTATATAAATGAACATTAATGTGCCTAATTAATGTGATTGTTTTGGGTAGTTGTTTGAACTTGCAAATTAAAATAAGTTTCAATAACATTTTGGTTTCTAGTAAGTTAGATTATGGGATTAATGCATTAATAAGGAAGGACAATGTCTTAAATCAGCAACTACTTTTCTCACTTAGAAGTGTGGATATTTGGAAATAAAATGTGCTGATGGTGCACTAGAACAGGGATSTCCAACAACTGGGCCCAGGTCCTGGATCCTTTAGTACCGGGCTGCACAGATTTATAGTTTTTTTTTTTTTAACAGAATCATCTGTAAATCGTCTGACCAAAATCTCAGATGCAAGACTTCCTTTGACGAGATGCCAATCTGTTTGTCAGCTGTTTTTATCTGATCTTGTTACAAAACAAACCTCAAGTTGAGCAGTTTGAGATTTGTTGGAAACGTTACACCTTTTTGTTTGGTTCCCAATGAGCAGAAACTCCCACTGCTTMCAGTTCCTGTCTGTCCTGAACCATCACAGAAGCTAATTCTATTTCCAAATAAGGGTTTACAAAGTACAATCATCCACATATTCATCAGTAAACACTATTATGACTCAGACTTTATGTGAAGAACAAACCACATACTTGTGTCATGTCATCTAAATTCATTTCATCGTACTGCATTTTCTGTTTGTTTACATCTCTAACATCAGTGTTTCTGTTAAAACAAACTGTAGGTCAGATATTTCACATTTATTTTAAAGAGAGAAAATATCAGTAATGTAATTTACGTTTTTAACTGTTAAAGGAGACGTATTATGATTTTAAATACTACTTTTTCCACATTTACATCATTCAGTTTTATGAGGTGTGTCTCAGATCAACTCAACCGAAGCGCCTCGTTYGGATCTAAAGAGACAGCTTCAAAACGAGTTGATCCGAGACACAACCTAAGGGGTTAAAGAGGGGCTTGTGGAGTTGCAATAAGGAGGAATTCAGACGAAAGCATTGCAGTCCCACTTTATAGACCCCAACTGAAGGATTTAAATATGAAACAGGAGGATTTAAAAGCATGACGTCATCTTTAAGTTACTAAATGTCTTTGTATTTTAATTGTATTTCTTTATTATAGTCCAGCGGTTCCCCTACTATTATCCAAGAATTCCACAGCGTGTAGTCATTTTAATTTAAATAACGCCAAATCACGTCAAGAGCTATTTCTGCGGTCGCTCCTCCACATCCACCTCGCTTATGAAACGCCAAACTTGGAAAAACAAAAAAACAAAAACGGTCGATAATGTGGTTCATATTCTGCGTCACTGACGCTGAAACACACAGTCTCACGTGCGTCTTTTTTTTTTCCTTTTTTTTTTGCGTAATCCCCCACCTCCACCTCACCACCAACCAAGACTTATTCCTTAGGGGAAACACTGTAGTCTCAAGCAATAACAAGTCTTTAAATATTCAATTCAGTTTCTTTATTCATTTCATTAAATCAAAACAAATAAGAAAAAAATATATATGCAAATCAAAATCACAAATAAAATGAAATGAAAGGCAGCAGAGACGAGAAAAAAAATCTTATGCCCCTTTTTTTTCCCAAGAAAAAGATCATATAAAAAATCTTATTAAAACAAAAGACAAGAACATCTAATCCCTCTAGAACAACAATTTATATATACACATTATACTGTTTTGTATTTCTTTAACACTCCAACGTTTATCATTTTCTTAAACGTACACAGTGGTCCTGCAGTTTTTACATCACTCCCCAATATTCCATAGTTTCATTCCTTGAATTAAAGTACACCGTACTTATTTTTATTTGCTGTTTTTTTCACAATGGGTTCAGAAAAAGGGGTTGAAGAAGACAGATTTATTTATTGTTTAAYAGAAGAGCAAAGAGAGTAAAACTGAGGACGAATGACGTGAAGCGTGCACGTCTTCAGCAGTGCTGTTATATGATTTGAAATTGTTGGATTTTCTATAAATGATTTATTTTCCAGAGAAGAGAATTTCCAGTTCACATCTCATAGTGGCCTCTGCTTTTCTCTGGTTTTGAGTAATCCTTCTTAACAAAATACACTAATATGGCTTCTTATTCTGACTGTATATCCTGTTATGGAGACACCTGAGTGGATCAAGGTAGTGAGCTTTCATTTGTTTTTGGGTGACATGCTGTTTCACAAAACAAGTAGTATTTTTTTTCAGTTCTCTGTAGGCAGTTTTGTCTAATCAAAGCACTTAACACCCAGATCTCAATTAGGTGTTTACTGGAAGCCAGTGATCAGAGGACACGCTGCAGGGAAGGTACATTATTCTTGAATTTGGGGTCATGTTTAACAGCTCGCTTGGCAAGTTTTATTCAGGTCAGAGCTGCGCGATCAGCCGGCCGAATGTCGAAAAATAAGTTCTCAAATGAGAAAAGCAGAAGCACGAAAGTGAGAAGTTGGTGTCGCACTTTTGCCGAAGCGATACCTGTCGCAGTCTTTTCTGTCAGCTGGCGCCTTTCTGAGTTCTTAAATTTATTTTCAGCAGCCTAACCAACCCTGTCACGTGTAGTTCACACTCAGTAACTCAATGCTCACAATAGCTGCAATCTACATGACATGGATGGAAGTCGTGGCTTTTGAATGGTACAGAATAAAAAAAACTACTCTGCAAAGCTTTTTTTTTGTTGTTGTTGTTGTTGATCACAAGTCTGTCACTTTGATATGAGAGTATTCGGCAGCGCTGCGTGAGTGTTTCATACACGTGCACGCATGCTTTGCAGCAGGGAAAGGAAAAGATCTTACTTTCATGTCACTTTTCCTGTGGTCTGTACATTCTGTCATGATGTCATGTGAAAGATGTTTTTCAGGCTGTCAACAGTCACACGAGTCAAACTCGAGGCCCGTGGGCCAAATCTGGCCCCGTTTCACGTTTTATCTGACCWCAAAGGTAATAGTTTAAATGTGAAACAGTTTTATAGTTTCTCTCTTTGTCAGATTCTTGTCATGACAGCTGGTTAATTTTCAAGCCAACAAGATTAAGTTTGAATTGGTTTTGGTGTAGAAAGAGCAGCAGAAAATTGATTTTAATTATGTTTTTTTGGTGTTTTTCCTATTTTTTTTCTTATTTTTTTAAGGTCAAATAATCAAACCTTTAGTGATGTTTTACTTTTTTTAACCTAATTAGCTGGATTGTGATAAAATGTATATTTAAGATAAGTTGTTGGTACAGTAAAGGGCCCATAATAACAGTCGACACCCGGTTGTTCAATGTTCATTGTTTGCACACACCTCCCACAGCCCCCGAGATGCACCGCACTGAGCTCCTGGGGAACCCCCTCCTGCTGCGGGACACCTCACTGCACGAGGTTTCTTCCCACTAGAGTCCACACCCAGGRAAGAACCCTCGGATATCCACCATTTGTCCACACGTCTGTCCCGGTTAAAGCTCCACACTTTTCCGCAGAAAGATTCCTTTGTGCACATTTGTGTTATCTCCCTTCATGAGTTTCTGGCCATTTGACTATCTTCATAAATGTCTGCTTCTGGGAACAACAGTCGGCTTCTGGTAGCAAGTTGTTGAAGCAAAGTAAAATTTTGAAGCTGGTTGTTTTTAATTATCATCAAACAGGTGGTTGTGTTTTTGTCCTTCCCCGGGTGTTTATGTGCCAGTTTCTAAGCAAAATGTCTCGTTGAACACAGTTTATTGAAACTGTCAGAAAGCAATCATTGGATGTTCATCTCCAACTTGCTTTATAAGATGGCTGCCACGACCAGCTGACCTTAAAAAACACAAAAATGGCTCTAAGTCAGTTTGTTTTACAGATTCTGACCTGTAATTAGGTGTGGTAGTAGCTGAGACTGATCCACAGCTCACATTCTAAGCACTAACAGATTTACCCCCAAAAAAGGTGATCGTTTTAATTTCTCTTCTAATCCCCAGAGTGACAGTAGGTTTGGGGTCTGAAGCTCAGAAATACTTTAAAGGCACTCCTGGGAACTGTAAACATGCTTAAGCAAACAGTTCTGCATCGAGGTACGATGACTGGGTCTGCTGAGTTTTTTAGGGACAACATGAACTTTAGAAGCAACATTCCTGTTTACTCAGTCAATACGAATCAACTCCATGTCCTTTTTGAGTAAAAGCCCAGTTCTAATGCAGCGGGGCT